GGGCAATCTACTTCCATAGTGATAGTGCCTCAGAAACCCAAGGAGGAGTCACTATGAGTCAGATCTGACTCAATGGTAGTGAGAGACCCATCTGGCCTTTTTTACTTTCCAGCATCACCAGTAAACTTTAGTCCAAACCACCATCACTGGGCTTGTTAAAAAAATACCAGGTTGCTTTGTTTAAAGAAGTGAAACTTACATTGTACAACATATGATCAAATTTTCAAGTTCATAGTCTTAACTCTAAGTGTCCAGAAATTGACTGTAGATTATTTGTTCCTTAAACAGAAAGCCAGAACTATGCATTTGAGAAATCAGGAAAGGGAAAAAAAGAAAAATTAGGTAAAAAAAAGAAAGAAAACAAAAAACAAGTAAAAGATTTTTGTGCCTATTGGTTCTTTGGGAGCTCTGGTGGTGTAGTGCCTAAGGCACCTGACTGCTAACCAGATTCACACCCACCAGCCACTCCCAGGAAGGAAGGTTGGGCAATCTACTTCCGTAGTGATACCGCATTGGAAACCCAAGGAGGGGTCGCTATGAGTCGGATCCGACTTGAAGGCACATAACAACAACATTGGCTTTTTTAAATCCCCAGTCAGCTATCAATGGAACTTCATTCAGTCCTAGCTGAACTGTTTAGTAGGCAAAATCATTGCCATTGTTTTCTGCCATGCTTTTTTCTTCCTTTGCAGTACTATCCTCCTGCCCTTTGACCTTCTCCTTCCTCTCCTCGAGGAGTCAAGTGTCCCCATGTTCTAGAATCTCACATCTCCCAGTGAAATATCCAAGCTGGGTCTGATGCTCTGTGCTCAAAGCTTTTCTTTCTCTTCCTCACACATTATTGTCATCACCTGGGCCAAACCAAACTAAACCCACTGCCATCAAGTTGGTTCTAACTCATAGCAGTGCTATAGCTCCTATCACTAGGACCAGTTTCTGATCATATAGTCAATGTTGATGTGGTCATGGCTTCAAGGCATTATCTCAGTAGCACCACAAAGATTTTACCTGGGAGAGTTCTCATGAGTGCAATATCTTTATGATGGAAGAAGCCAGCCCCAAAGCCAGCATGAGGGGTGGGTACATTAGAGCATTGTGAGACCCTTCACATCCCAACAAAGTTTCACAAACATCTGTCCATGCTCAACACTGAGCAGGCTGCACAACAGAGTCAGATGGGGAGATTTTGAAAAATACAGATCCTTAGGCTCCAACGCTTGGTGTTTCTGATACAGTGAGTCTTCCATAGGGCTTAGACATAGGTATTGTTTAAAACTGTGCTGTGTCATGCCCCAGGGGCTCCATGCATAAGGCCAGGCCTGACCAAGTGCATGGTATATGGTCAGAATTGCATGAGCTGCCGTGGACAGCACAGAGGAAGAATGTATCCTCAAGGAGCTTAGAGTCCATTTTGGGCACAAAGAAAGAAATGAAGCAAATAGAAACCAAGACCTAGCTTAGGTAAAGGTCAAGGGGAAAGAAGTCACCTTGAGCTGGGCATGAAGTGGGCATGAAGTATGATCAGGGGCCATTGGTAGTTTGCTCAGAGTCATCTGTTTGCACATCTTGTAGGAAGTCTGATTATATGAGAGGGAAGGAAAGAAATACAACATAGAGACACAGCTGAACACACCAAAGAAGAGATGGAGACATTTCAACTGCTACTTGCTCCGAGATCTTAGACTCCATCTCCATGGACATAGCAGAGTACAGAGCAATCCCCAATGACTCATCTTTCTGGGCTAAATGACAACACAAGGGTGACAGAGACTTTGAGTGGGTTAGCTTTGCATCCAGTGGGATCTCAAAGCAGTGGCTTGTCTCTTCTTCCCCAGGTTGGACTGCCAGCTTGTACCTGGCCCTTCTGTTTGGCCACACTACTGTTCCTCTTGGTGACCACAAAAAACCCCAACATCTACAGAATGCCCCTCAGCAATGTCACTTATCCTGAAGAAAACCGCCTCTTTTACCTGCAAGCCAAGAAAAAGATGGTTGAAAGCCCTTTGTAAGTGCAACACTCATCTGGAGCCATGGTCACCAGACATTTCTGACTGGCTGCCTCAGTTGACTCTTGTTTTCCCTAGCAACAAGTTCATACTCACCATTGGCGATCTGTTCTGTGCTCATTCTTTAGACTTGAGGGGACACCCCCAAGCATATATGAGACACCTGCAGTGACGTGCTCTGGCTATGGAATTTTAAACCCCAGTGAGGGGTTGGAGCTGACAAAGACTCATGTATTTATAAAGTCAAAATGCTCCAACAGAGAGAGCCAATGAGACTGGAGCTAATTATTGATATTTATTGATCTTCATGGTGTTTGGTCAGGTGGATGATGTTAACAGTATTAAAAATTAAGCTCTGTAAACCAACTAAGCCCTCCTTGAATGGAATTCTTGGTCGCAAAATCAAAATCAATACTGAACTTTCAAATCAGCAGTATGTTTTTTTTTGTAATCCAAGTTACACATCACAGCTGTGGTCGACATGGTGCGGGCGCAGGCTGATTGTTTGTTCCTCACTTCTTCTGCAGAAACGGCCTCAGTACCATCCGTTGTGTGCAGGACACTCTCAGGAGATAGTGGGGGTTTTTCAGGCTGACGGAGCTGCAGACAGAGGAGAGGGATTTGTTGGTCAAAACCATTCTGTATTGCCATTCACCTTGGAGATTGCAAAGAGTTTTTTATATGGATGTCTTTTTGTCTTATGAGAATGGAACTGTTTTTGATAATGTAAGAGAGGCTCCTGGCTTAACCAGTTTTTAGATATTAAAGGAAAGTTGCATATTTAGAAAACACTCAGCATAGCAACAAATGGATAGAACTCAGTAATCAAAATCCATTGATCCTTTTTTATTTTTTATTTTATTATAGTAAAATATATATAACAAAGCATTTGCATTTCAACCATTTTAATATGTACAATTCAATGGCATTAACTGCATTTGTGTTGTACCCATTGGTCCTTTTCAGTTCATCTGAGACATATATGTTATAAAAACTGAAGGTTGAGATCATATTGCTTATGGGTGCTATTAGAAGTGGCTCTTCCTTAAAAAAAAAAGCAAAACACTTTCTGCATATTCATAATATTCTCTCTCAGAAACCAGCGTTATTTGAACCACCAAAAAGAATACAAGTAAGGAATTCTCCAGACCTTTTTATTATTATTATTATTAAATTATCAATTCTATAAGATCCCTAATGGCACAGTGGTTAAACACTCGGCCGCTGACTGGAAGGCTGATGATTTGAACCCACCAGCCGCTCCACCAGGGAAAGATGTGGCAGTCTGCTTCTCTATCGATTACCGCTTTGGAAACACTAAGGGACAGTTCTACTCTGTCCTAAAGGGTCCCTATGAGTCAGAATTAACTTGATAGCAACGAGTTTTTTACAGATGTTATCACCCCTATGAAAATCCCATCACCAAACACGCTGAAGATGGTGGTAGAACATTCCGCATATTCTTTCCATTTGCTGTGTATCTGTTCAGTAGTTTGGAAGAGTAGAGAACTGAAACTTTGGCATCTTGAAGGCCTTCTCCTCTTCGGTTTCCAGCGCTCAGAGCCAGGTATGTGGTTTGCTGAGTGAAAAAGCACAAGTCGAGAAGTAAACCTACAAATATTTGAGGGAGACAGTTCACTCCTTCTTTTTCTCGGGAAAATAAACAAACGTTTCAATTTACAAACCCTGTGACCAAAGCCTTTTGAAACCATGAATTTGCAATTTATGGATATTCCTGTGGAAAAAGTAGGTTTTCGATGTTGAAGCCGTTGTTAAGGAATTTGTGAAATAAGACTTAGGGAAAACAAAGAAACCAGCACAACCAAAGACAACCAGGAGTGAGGAATCTATGCTGTGGGGTGTGAACCAGAGTGGCCCCCAGTCCATCCTCAGAAGGGAGTTCTAGCACCTTCTCATGTTGTGCTCACACAGATGTGCAAATAGAAACAGTTTGGTAGCACAGTGCCTGAGGCATTTGGCTGCTAACCAGAAGGCTGGTGGTTCAGACCCACCAGCCACTCCACAGAAGGAAGACTTCATAGAGATACTGCCTCAGAAACCCAAGGAGGGGTCACCATGAGTTGGATCTGACTCAACGGCAGTGAGTTTGGCTTTTTTTAATACATTATGTGATTTTAATGGTATTAATTTTCTCAAGCTATTTTTGTTATTATTATCCTAAAATTAAGTATTTTAATGATTTTCTTAGCACTTATATTTTTCCTGTGGTCTGTATAACAAACTTCTATGTAAGCATACTAATAAATTATCTCCTCAGCACAGTTTTCCTATAAATTTTGTTTAAAAGTGGCATGTGCCTTCTTTCAGCTATCACATGTGTTTGCGATTTCACATGCATAAATATGTGTTGATTATTCCTTTTTAAGGCATTTGACTGCTAACCAGAAGGCTGGTAGTTCAAACCCACCAGTCACTCCTCGGAAGGAAGGTTGGGCAATCTACTTCCATAGTGATACTGCCTCGGAAACCCAAGGAGGGATAGCTATGAGTCAGGTCCGACTCGACGGCACATAACAACAACAATAGCACCACATATATACTTGAGCCAAAACCAGTTGCCATCAAGTTGATTTTGGCTCATGGCAACTCCATGAGTGTCTGTGGAACTGGCTCCATAGATGTCAATAGCTGCCATTTTCAGAAGCAGATTGCCAGGATTTTCTGGCAAGTACTCTAGGTGGACTTGAACCTGCAACTTTTGATTAGCAGCCAAACATATTAACCATTTTCACTCCGCAGAGATTCATACTTAAGCAAACCCTGTTCAGTTTCAGATGTAGGGGCCCAGCTCCTGGGGTATCCTGTCAACTATACATTTTTCTTTAGTCTCAGAGAAGAGACCTCCAGAATGACTTCTGAGAGCAGTTACAGATAGTCAGGGCATGTTCCTATACTTTGAGATCAATATCCTTGGATCCAGCTTCCCCCACCCATTCCCAGGCAGGCCCTGGACATCCCCATAAAAGGCCATGGGCATGCCTCAGGGGTAAGGTCCCAAGAACAAGCCACTGCTCAGAACATCACCCTATGCTTGCCTCTGTCCCCTGAAGTACATCCCTTCCAAGTGCTTTTACCCATGGTTGATATATTTGAAATATAAATGATAATGGGATTTATTTCAACAAGTTTCAGTAATGCATTCCAAAGCAGCCCTAACAGCAACCAAAGGAGGCCACAATGGCATTTCCCCATGGGATGGTCTCTGTCAAAACCTCTGTGACCTAGATTCCAAGATCATAAATTTACCAGAGTTATTTGGTACTTAATAAATTTCCCCTTTGGTCTGAGGGAGAAGAGACAGAGAGAAGGCTTTTGAGGCTCTTATGCTAAAAACTCCAGACACAATACAGCATTAGGAGTTACAGGCGCCAATTTTTGTGTTGCCCATTACATGCATTGGGCATGGAGAATGTCATGATTAAGGGTTGCATTGTATAGGAGATTGGGAATTTCCAAGGAGGCTTCTTACATCTAATTGTGGGGGAAAAAAAACATTGTCATGGTTATGAAATACAAGCAACAAAGTTTTTATGCTTATGAATGTTTTCTGCCTTCACTCTTTTCTAACAAGTTCCCTCCAAAAGGTTTTAATCTTTAGAATACCATCTCCTTCTTAAACCTGCATGGACAGCCCCCAGACTATTAGAAGGGCTTTTAGCTTCAAGGCTAGAGTTCCATTTGCTAAGACAATCAGCACTGCAGATGCTGAAGGAATCTCAGCCTCAATATAAGATGATAGTAAGTAATCGTTTTTAAAGAAGAAAACACAAGTCCTATAATAGTCTGTGTTCACAGACTCTTAAAATTAAACTACAGAGTAGATATAGGAGGTCAGAACAGAGATATACCAAGTCACCCAAAAGAGAGAGATTTCTCCCACGCCTGAACTTATTCTTATTAAGTACTAACCTGGTAGGTATTAATATACCTAAAGCAAGCTTCTGTCCATCTGATGAAGCAGCAGGTTAATTACTGATGCTTAGGAGGTGAGGCAAACCTAGGCAGGGAGTTTTCAGCACTGGAAGTTGTGTCCCAAGAGTAGGTATTATTCCTTATGGTAGAATGAGTTCACAAGGCTATCACAGTTTAGCAAATTTAGCCAGCTAATGTCTTTTGTCTGGTCTTGTACTCACAAGCTATTTGGCTTCTTATGTTGCCTTCTAGGAGAAAAAGTTACTGGCCAACACTCCTGGGCTTCTGATCCTTGATCATTTGAATTTGAATTAACAATTCTAGTTTAAGGGAGCTCTGGTAGCATAATGCCTAAGGCACTTGACTGCTAACCATTAGGCTGGAGGTTCAAACCCACCAGCCACTCCACTTCCGTAGTGATACTGCCTCGGGAACCCATGGAGGGGTCGCTATGTGTCGGGTCTGACTCGACGGCACATAACAACAACAGTTTTTATACATAAATATTTTACAAGTTTTATTTGCCTGTTTTTTAAAATAATCTTGACTGCTATCTAGTCAATTCTGACTCATAGCAACCCTATGGACCCTATAGGACAGAGTAGAACTGTCCCATAAGGTTTCTAAAGCTGGAAATCTTTACAGAAGCAGACTGCCTCATCTTTCTCCCAGAGAGTGGCTAGTGGTTTCAAACTCCAACATTTTTGTTAGCAGCCCAATGTTTTAACCATAGAGCCACCAGAGCTCTTTATTTGGCTGTGTGTTGTGTTGTTAGGTGCCGTCGAATCAGCTCTGACTCACAGCGACCCCATGTGCCACAGATCGAAACACTGTCTGGTGCTGCACCAGCCTCACAATCCTTGCTCTACCAGAGGCCATTGTTGCAGCCACAGTAAGGTCTCATTGAGGGCCTTCCGCTTTTTTGATGACCCTCCACTTTGTAAGAATTTGCCCATATAGGTAACCAAAATCCAAATCATCCAATCATGGTGTTTCAACAAAGTTAGATTTCTGAGGCTTCAAAAGTGGATGGAGTGGAAGATGGGCAGAAATGGCCTCCCCAAGGAGAT